AAGGATAAAAATCTAGGTCGGAAAATTCATATCTCCACCATATAATCCACAGTGTGAAAGCGAAGACCTCTTCAAAACTAAAAACACGTGTCACTAGATGAATGGATTATTACAAGTGATAAATACCCTACACTAGATGAATGATAGGGTTCTAAAAACCAGAAACACTATTTCGCCATTACAAAACCTAAACTTATCTTTCTTCTCTCTTTTTTTGTTTTTGGCTTTCAGATTCTAAAAACAGAGAAGTTATTAGTCACCGTCGGGCTCGGATTCGCTTGGTGCAGGTCGGGACTAATTCGCTGACACAGCCACGTGTTTTTTACTAATTGGTTTGTGAGCAGGGATTGGCTCCCGCCTTGCATCAACTGAATCGGAGCTCTGATGGTGAAACCAAAAAGCCAATCAGATCTGGAAAAAATTATATACTCTTCTCTTCTATCTTTTGTTTTTATGCTTTATTGTTTTGATTTATATCTTCTTCAATCTCTCTATTTTTTTTTTCTGGCCTAAAAGTTAAATCTTTATCGTGGAACTCAGTGATATTAAACTTTAGAATCTGTTAGATGCTTGAGAATGTTTGAATTCAAGATCTAAGTGTTGAACATATTAGAGATTGTTGATGTGATTACTTCTTGATTCAATCTGTTCTACCTGTTAATTGTTATAATCCGTAAGAGTTGAGTTATAAGGGTAGAGATGAGGATAAAGAGCTCTGTTCTTGAGAATCTTTAGGGTTTCTGATTGATTTTCACTTTTGGATAGGTTTTGACGGTGAGACTCGAAGACGACCGATCTAGCAAAGTAGGTAAAAATAGTCAAAGCTCATTTACCTTAATTGTCAAGATTGAATGAACAAATGGTGTGACGTACAATTACTACTTGGGATGGTCATGTATTTAATATCTATGTTGGTTGGTTGTTTGACGATGCTTTAGCTTTATGTATCTTCTTGTATCTCTTGTTTCTTTACACACCTTTTAGTTTTGGTCTAGATTGCAATGTGTACAATCAACCAATGCTAACTGGATTTGAGCTATCTGGTCAAAAAGTTCTGTTTTTGACTTTTTGTCAATGGGTAGGTTCCTTTATTTTCACCTGCTTCTCTTTAGTCTCTTTTCTTGTTTTTTATGTATTTTGAACATTATTATAATAATTAAAGTAAATCAATACTGGAAGTTCTTACTATATATTGATGATGGTAAAAGATTCTCCTCCCTTGTGTATGCTATTCAGCAAATTCCTTGCAATATGTTATGCATACTCACAGATGCGTAATTTGAATAAAATGAATCAACTAAATGTCAACAGAAAAAAAAACTCCTTTTCTCTATATAAACACAAAACCAACCAATTAAAACACACACCTTACAATAAATTGAAACCACTTCTAATAAGTTGTGTCTGGCCCAAAAAATGTACAACTTTGGAACTAGTATGCTCTGTATTAAAGGATGTAGCATAGATGATCTTAAAAGTGTTTGATCTTTTACAAGCAAACAAACAAGAAAGCATCATGTGATTCAAGCCTTTTGTTGTCAGGCCCTGAAGTTTCACTTTCAAGCTCAACCCCAAACCTCTATATTCTGTATGGAAACAAACAATTCCATATCTACAATCCAATCTAATTTATCCTTCTTTTGGTGTTTTGATACATGATAACCCATTATAAATAAAAGTAACTGCCTTCATTCTCTGATTTCACATTCGTTTTTCCACCATCTCAGCAATAAAGTTACTTCACCTTATCATGTTGACTGTTTTTAGCTATTTAATCTTCTTATGGTTCTTTATGAAATACACCAGCAATCCCCTGTCTTATAAAACTTGCTCCTAAATGGTAATTGCAGGGTGTATCCGCTATTCAGAGGAAACATTTGCAAACATGACCCCATTACTTGAACAACACTGATGACTCAAACATGAAATTTGAAGCTGTCTGATATCAAAAATTCAACAAGACAAAGACTAGTTTTTCAAGATTCATGAACTTGGAAGAGTTTCAGAGATTACAAACAAAGGGCCAACTCCTAATTATCCCAGGACCGAATGTATGCTGAGATTCTCTGACCCATAAGCATCGGCTTTGCTATACCAACTGATTTCTGACTTCTCTAACCATAAATGAAAAAAACATTCATCTCAACACTTCTCAAAGCATACTCAAAGTTTGCTAGTTCACACACATAATAACTTTTTCAATGATCTTCCAAAAATGATGAAGCTATAAGTTTTTCCTACTCAACTGCGACGCAAACTGATCAGCCGCAGCCATAGCTCGAGAAGCTGAACCAATCGATCCATCATACCTGCAAGAAGAACACACTTAATGTATAGAAGAAGAGATACAATTGAGAGCAGAGTGTGAAGTGGACTCACAAAGCAACCAAAACATAAACAGCAGTCTGCATAACAATAGCTCCTTCACCAGAAGGCTGAGTTGTGTTCAAGCACCGAGCAGCAAACCAATTCTCGTGAATTGATGTTATTATATCTACAAAAATTCTCAACTCATATCATTAAAAAAAAAACCACAAAACCACACTCTCCAAGCAAAGACTTACACTGGTTGGATCCAAGAACAAAGGTCTCGGTCGGAAGATTGCCACGTCTCATGAAATCGATAAACTGCTTCAGCTCAACTGGATAGAGATCAATCCCTTCTTGCTCAGCTCTGCAAATCAAAAACTCGAGCTTAAACTGAATCTGCATAAACTCAGAAGAGACTAATCCAAAAACCACCAATCTTGTAAAAGAAGAAGCTCTATTAAGCAGGAGAATATGCTTCACATTGTAGATAAGAGACGGGAAGGTCCTGTAGGGTCGTAGTTAAGCAAAACAGCAGCTTTCAATGGACTACTTCCTGTATAAAGATTTCAAACAATCAAATCACAAAAAGTTACATTTTTTTTTTCTGGGATTATCTTCTTCTATTGAACAAGACACACTCTCACTCTGAAACCCTAATCGGAGAATTTACCTGAAGAGCCGACGTTAGCCGTGACCCATTTGTCCCAAGCTCTATCCAGATACGCCGAATCCATCAATGCGCTCTGAAACTGTTAGGAGATTTATTAAAGTAATGATCTTTCGTCGGAGTAAAGTGGGAAGCTTTATTTCTCCAGAATTGAGATTAACCCCAAAGACTCAACGAATCACTGTATCGAAGCTTCTGTGTACTTTCTCTCTCTTTTTCTCTAGCGTGTAAATTTGACAAATTTGTGATTTGATTTTTAAAGTTTTGGATGAAATTGGGAAGCTTTTGTGCTTTTATCAAAAATCTCATATAAAATCATTTAAATCGTATTTTTCTATTTTTAAAATAAGATTGTTTCATAATGTCTCTAAATTACTCTATAAAATCTAAAATTTAAAATATTTGTTACAGTTATTCAATTTACAATATATTTTACAATATATTTTACAATTACAAATTTCATAATAGTAAACTTGAACAGATTTTAAGAAATAAATCACTTTTTAACGCCATGATATAAAAGTCACTTTAAACTCCTGAATTGATTAATACAAGAAATTAAGCTGAATGGAAAATACACTCTTTTATTCAATTTTGGTGAAACTGTCTTAAACTCTTATTCGAGGGATTTGTTGTTGAAATTAAAAATTGAACATTTATTTTAAACATAATTTAAGGTCTATTCATCAGTAGAGATTGCAGGACAAGTAGGATTGCAAATCGGCGAAGGACAGTCTATCTTCTGGAATGCACTCCGACCGTAAAACCAGTTTCCGACCGCTTTCGATATTTTCTGCATGATAATCAAAATGTAAATTAGTTTAAAGAAAAACTAAGTTTAAACTGAAAAGATCATTTGAAAAAATACGATTTTTATTACCGTGTTGGCGACTTGGGGACCTTTGGCGCCGGACCAAGAGGCAGCGCTTCCTCCTTGGCAATGAGCGTGACACGAGTCCAAGAACAAGCCTCTCGACGGTGTACTGTGGATGGGAGCCAATGCACGCATCATCTGATCTCTAAACCCTGAGATGTTTAAACCAAACCCGGTTTAATTTATTTTACCACCAAACCAAGGTCGTTTTTCATATAGTTTTAATTGAGATAAACCGAATTTATCAAATTCAAACCAGACATGAAGAAGAAACATGTTTCAAACTAAGCCGGACTACAAACCGCTTAATTTTCTCACCTATAAACCGGAACAGAATGGAATGTACCAAACCTCCTGAAATTCGGTTTAATTATGAAATTAATAGTGTTACCTTGGACGGTTTTGAGCTGAGCAGCCGAACATTTCTTGAGATCGAGCTTACATTTCGCCCACTCTTTGCGCTTATCTACCCCGGTCGGAGCCAGAACGTTCTTGATCTAAAATGTCACCAAATTCAATAAATGTATCATTTTTTTATATGTGTATAATGAATGTGTTCGTATAAAATACAACATATATATGTGTCGGACCTGCCAGGAGTCAAACGCAGCGTTAATGACAAAGAGCGGTGTACGCATGAAAGGAACGACGTATTGCGGGAAGAAACACTGCCAAAAACGAACAAACAACACGTTAGTGTCGCTTCGTAGATACAAAAAGTGCATAGATTAAAGATGTTAGGATAAATAATGAAAGAACATACGAGTTCTGGTTTCATTTTTGAGGTGCATGAAACAGGAAGACTCTTTGCAGATCCCTGCAAAATGGTTTAAGCAAGACTGACTTTAGTATTACCTCATATGATTTATTAGGATTTACAATAACGAGAGGGGAGAGAAATCTTACGTGAAGTGCGACAACTTTACTGTAATAAGATTGTATGTATGATCCTCCTGAGATATCTTTACTGTTTCATAAAATCCAGTTCAGTTATGATAATGAAAATGATCAATGGTTCTATTAGCTGATGTCACAAACTTTAATGCAGTGGTGGCCTATTTGATTATAGATTTTTTTCCCACTGCCCCTAAGTCATGTAGTACACATTACCCGTGGATAAAGTAACCGGCGTCAGAAACACATTTGACTCTAGCTGTCCGAGGAAGTATGGCGCGGAAAGTGTCACAATGTAGAATTGCGGCCAATGCTCCGGCTGAACAACCGGAGAGAATCGCCTGAACAAGTTTCAAGTAAATAAATTAACCTCCGAAATTATTTTATAATTACCGTACTACATTTGATACGTAAGAAAAATGTTGAAAGCTGTATATAATACATTTTGCGCGTTTTTCATCCCTTTAGCCATAAGATCATCAATCACCGCGCGCCAAACTCGTGCACCGCGGAAAAACAGCTTATTCGCCTGAAAATATTCAAAAACTTGATCATCAAACCAACAATATTGAAGATGAAAGTATTTTACAAGAAAAATGTAAATTTTGGACAGTAAATTAAAGTAAATCTTCGTAAATAACACAAGTTAGTCACTAAATTAATTACCGGATTTACAGCTTCAACATTGCCGGTAAAAGATGATCCGTCACAATAACGTACTTTGATTCTATTCCAGTTGTAAAAATCTGAAGAAATATCACAGATTTTGACACCATTACTCTCAGAAGTAAAAAAAAAATCGTTGAATAATTGAAAATAAAAATAAAAATTAGGTTAGACCTGGGTTAGTGTTTTGCTTGCCACCCAAGATACCGGAGAAACCAAAGTCTTTGTTCATGAATTTGGACGAACCCTTCATTGTACCTTTGCGCTTAATACATGAAGCCACATCGGTACACCATCCTCCTCCCTAAGACAACATTCACATTATATTCAAATCATTATAACTTAGAAATAAGCATAACTATTAGATAAATAATATATATGCCAGTAAGATAAGTTTTGAAATATTGGTTCTGGTTCAGAAACCACAGAATGACCAAATGATTCCGTAAGTTCTTTAAGTTATTATCAGTCACACAACTTAAATATAAGCGTCCATAAATTGTCAACAAAAATTAATATTCATGTCATTTCATCCTGCAAATTTTATTTAATTCTTCATGATACTTCCGATTCTCGGCATTACTAATCAAAACTCTTACCTCCATGTGAACGATCCAATTGTTAACCCCAGAACCAAACCCTTTGTCGAAATGGTAAGCTGGTGCACTCCCATCCAAACACACTACAAAAATTTATTTAATACAAAGCAATTGTCAATAACATTTTTCCAATTAATCGATTTTAATGTTATCTTTTTTGGATGATATGAATACAAGTGCATATTACCGGCTCCTTTAGCCACGGCACTTTGTAGATAAGTGATGGGAACGGCTCCTGTTCCGATCATCATCATTGCCAACACTAGCACACTTGACCAACATTGTTTAAGCTTCCCCATTCTATCAAAAAATATAAAAATAAATAATCAATCGTACGATGTAGTTAAAGTTTCTTGTGAAACTTGTACGTTTTATTCAATTATTTTAATGTCGAAATAACAACGAATCTCCAAGTACTAAAGAAATACTTAAATACACTTTCTATTGGGAGATTATAGGGTAACATGCAAGATGATAATTATAAAAAATATAATGATATCTACGTATCATATGGTTTTAGGATCTATATCTTCATTTATTCAACGATTCTACACATTCAATGAACATTTTAGTTCGTCAATGGACACCATATTCCATTTTTCTTATAAGATTCCGTTAATCCGCATTAATACTAATGGAGATCTACATTATTGAAGACACCATTTACCACAAATACGAATAAAGGACACCCAGTAATTAAAAAGTAGACATTCATCTTCCATGTGCGTGATTAAAAAATCTTCTGAGTTTTCTCAGACAACTCAAAAAGATTGTCAATAATTATTATCTTGCTCAAAGTATAGTCCACTTTTATAATTATTAATCCGTAGCCTTAACGACAATGCTAATTGCTATTACGGTCCGTTGTTATTTTGAGATGCCGGAAATACCCTTGACATCATTTGGTCTTTTACTATGCAAGAAGCAAGATAATTTAGTTTATATACAATGATATTCGTTGTGTTACAAAAAAAAAAAAAATACAATCATATTCGTTGACAAAAGAAATCATATCCAAAGATTCCAACTTATTGGACCGTATATAAATGTTGAATCACATCGTTTCAATAACTATCGATGCAAGTTTACAAAAAAAATATAATAATGAAACTATCGATGCACAATGCCATTCATGTAAATGATAAGAAAATGTATAGTGTTCAGGCTTCTGGAGTTCTAAATGAGTGATTTAGTAGTAATAAACACGATTAAAATCCTATGTGATGATATTATATTCAAATAATACCATAATTAAATTCATAAAATGATAATAACTTAAGTAAGACTAAAGTAGTGACAAGAAATTCAAATATAAATTCAGAAAAAACGAAGCTTACCTTGTGAGAAGGGAGTCCTTTTGCTTTTCTTTGCTTAGAGAGAGAGGAACTGATTTTTGTGGTGAGTTTGTGAAATGGATAGAGAGGAATCTGAAAGAAAGAGCTTTAGAGGTTTATGGAAGCCAGCCATTGTTGTCTTCTCAATTATATAATAGAAACATCAACAAGTTGCAAATAAAAGAATACACTTTTTGCTTTATAATTTACTTTATAATTATATTCTTTTGCTTTAATTTGCAAAAAAGGCTTATATGTTTTATAAGATACTTGCGAATGGCATAGCGTGTATGTCAGTAGATTCGCCAGGTTATCCAACGTCAAGAAACTACGTTGTATTACTCTTAGTCAAATTCTGTATTCTTAAAATCTATCGGATATTTTTTTTTTTGAACAATAAAAAAAATAGTAGTGGTTTAATATTTTAATACAATATTCTTTTACAACATATATCTATCTATTTAAGAAGAGAAGTCCTAGATTCGAATAGCCAAATTAGTGGTACTAAATTAACATAACATAGTCGAAGAGAAACTCCAAACACCATATGTAACATTGTCCGTCTTATCTATTCTACATGTTCTTTTTTTACCAATTGAAAATAATTTGTGGCAAACATCATTTTGAGATATATAAGGTTTTCATACACCAATTGAAAATATTTTTTTTTGAAAAATAGACATTCTAAAAGATTTGAAATGGCTGAGTTTTATTAATTTATAAGTTACTAAAAACTCATTATATATCGACTAAAGTTAATAATTCAGTATAAGAGCTGTCGAAAAAGAATTTCATTCTTAAGTTTGCGAGACCTTAAACTGAGATTTATAAATCTATGATCACAATTTAATATGAAGGAAATAGGTTTTTGGTTTTTTCCTTTATCAAAAATAAGAAGGAAAAAGTACGTTTGCCTCGAGTACTAATAAAAAGTGTCGGTGCACCGAACGACTAGCTAGCTGCGAAACAGCCAAAACACGTTCGACATTCACGATAAAAATATCAAAATCCAGACTGTCTCTATTTTAGCTTTTTATGCATTAACACGATTAACGTTGTGTTTTTTTTTGGGTCAAAGATTAACGTTGTGTTATTTACTGAAAAGCTCTTGTTCATGTAGACAGTGGATTGATGTTAATTTGGTGGACAAGTATTTTAGCAAAAAAATGTATATATTGATAAGTATGAGAATTCATTGGTTTTAGGATCTAAAAGGAACAGTTGTTAATAAAGGAAGCTACGTCGCGATCTCAAATGTAGGAAGATCTTCATTATTGATTTTCTAGGGAAAATTATCGATCCGTAAACCGCGTGCGAAATGCAATAATACAAAGCTACAAACAGCATGATGGCATATGGGTCTTGCATAAAGCATGAACAACAAAAATGAAATATGAATAATTTACCCTTAATTTATTAAAAAAATTATCATCATTTTAGTTTAACAAGTTGTGTTAGTACTGTAATTTTATGGCCATCCTGATTTTGTATCACTCATAATTCATTGATATCTTCTTATGGATTGTAAAGATATAACGCAACATAAACATATCCAGTGTGCAGATCTAGTAGCAGCATCAACAATAAAGTTTCTAAAGAATAAAAAGATATATAAGAGCAACTTCTTCACTAACGTTATTTTGCTTGTATAATGTATAGTGTTGCAGCCACGGTTGTTTAGATTTGTCACTGTTAATGCCTTAAAAGGCGTCAAACTTGAGTTACAAGAAGAATTATACTTTATTTATTAGAATCAAAGTAACAATTTTGCATTTTACATAAAAATGGAAGAGAAAACAGAGAAACTTCAGCACAGAAAGCTGAAAAAAATTACTCATTTTTGCGTATTCTCAACACTCAAGAATCAATCACACACTTTTTCTTTTTCTATAGCTAAGCCCTAAAAATATTTCACTATAATATGACAAATGAGTCATGTAAGTATATTGTTCTCTTTTTAAAAGAATAGTAAAATCTATACGTTTTTCTTAAATTGGAGGAGCATCTTGAAGAGTGAAAACCCTGTGGTGGCAAGTAGGATTACAAGGATAAGGACAATCTATCCTCTGAAACAATTTTCTGTCATAAACCCAATCTCCAACAGCCTTTGCTATTGTCTGCTCCCAAAAACAAAAACAAAAAAATTAACAAGTGATCAGAAACACACAAATGTACACTTGTTTTATTGAATAGTATGACCTTCTGTTTTCACAAGAATTTGTAGAAAAGAAGTTGTAGTGAACTTTACCGTTCGGTTTAGAATTGGAGAATCTTGCCAGAACCATGAAGTTTGTGTCTCAGTTTGGCAGTGAGTGTAACAAGAGTCTATGAACATCCCTCTTGATGAAGATCTACCTAGACCTATCACCGCGCTCAAGAACTCTAACCTGAAATCTAAATAACATAAAAACCATACAAATGGTGTTAAGAAAAGATCCAAAATAGTATCAACTCTTGCATAGCTTTTGGTTATGAGGCTACTAACCTTGCATAACTTTCAGCTGGTTTGGTTGGCAATTCTTGATGTCAAGTTGACAACTTTGCCATTTTCCATAAGGATCAGCCGCACGGGGAGCCAAAATGTTCTTTATCTGAAAATTCAAAGATGAGCTTTTGGAACTTAGACTTATGGTTAAAGATTTTTTTAAGTTACAAAGAGATAACTAACCTGCCAAGAGTCGTATGCGGCATTAAGAATGAATACAGGAGTTCTAATCTGGCGAGCTACGTATTGAGGGAAGAAACACTGCCATTTTATATTGGTAATGATTATTGTTTGAAGAGAAACAAGAAAAAAGGAGTTAAAGAGATAACATGAATGCTTTTTACCATTGCAGGGGTCAATCTTGATGTGCATGACCTCGGCAAATTCTTTGCTGATCCCTGAAAAACCATGAAATAAATGTCACGATAGAGGAGATACAAGTGACACTATGGAGGAGAAAGCAAAATAAAACACTTACATGCAGAGTAACCACATCTTTGAAGTATGATTTAATGTATTGAGCTCCTGAGACATCTCTTCTGAGAAAGCATACCAACGAAATGTATTTTTTTGTTAGACTCTATATCTTTAGTCTTTGTTGGTTATAGACAAAGAATGTTTACAATGTAACAATAGACTTACGTATTGAGAAAGAAACCAGCATCTGAAAGACATTTTACTTTGGTACCCATTGGTAATAAAGCACGGAAACTGTCACAATGCATCAGAGACGCTAACCCACCAGCAGAACACCCAGACAAAACAGCCTGCCATAGTTTTTGTCATCAACGTTTTAGATAACTCTTAAAGATCAAAAAGATTGCAAAGAGTTTCTTTGGAGGAAAATAAAACTAACATTCTCGGCGTTTCTCATGCCTTTAGCTAGCAGCTCCTGCATAACAGCTAACCAAACCCGAGCACCTCTGAAGTGAAGTTTAGTAGCCTGATCAAATCACCATTTATGATTATCGAATAAGGAAGATTTGATCTCTTCCTTTACAACATTACAAAAATATAAAAGTCTCAAATGGTTTCTTGTTAATACTCACAGGGTTCACTGCTTGCACATCTCCTGTGAATGATGAACCGTCGCAGTATCTAACTTTTACTCTGTTCCAATTATAAAAATCTGCCATTTCCAAAAAGAACCATCACTCAAAACCCATAAGATTTCTTTTATTTATTTAAAAAAATCAAGAATTAGTCAGTACTAACCAGGGTTATATTGTTTCTTATTGCTAAGAATAGCTGAGAACGCAAGATTCTCCACCATTTTCTTTGATGAACCTAATCGAGTATGCATCCGACTAAGACAGTTTGTTACATTATTACACCATCCTCCTCCCTAAAATCAAATCATAAGTATCCCCAAGATCAAATGAGTAACATGGAGTAAGCAAAAAGCAGGAAACAACTAGAACATAAAGAAACTAAAAAAAAGGCAGAATAAGACCGACCTCAAGCTGTATTAACCAGCTATTGATTCCAGTTCCAGAACCTCTGTGTAAATGATAAGCTGGTGGACTTCCATCCAAACAAACTGTAAAGTAATAATGAATTTAATTATTAAACACACACACAAAAAGAAACAAACTTTTGACTAAATTAGAATCATATATATATATAAAACTCACCGGCCCCTCTTGCGACGGCGTTTCTAACAAATGTAATATTGACAAATAATCCTTCTGCTTTCAAGATTGCTAACGAACATACCACAAGAACCAACCATTTCTTGAAGTTGAACATTCTGGAACATATAGGAACAAATAAAATTAAAGAATATATATATAATTTTGAAGTACATGTAAAAAAGTAGAAACGAAAATGGCAATTATAGTACCAAAAAGACAACTCTGATCAAAGAAAAACAAAAGTACCCTAAAAGAGAAGATCCGAACATATAAGTAGACAAATCTCTTAGCTTAGATCCGAACTATTTTCTTACATCATTTGTGTCTTAAAAAAAAAAAAAAAATTCCAGTTTTTAGTAGATTTTACTCAGATTTCAATTCCAGCTAATAAAAACAAAAGAACAAAAAAAAATCACCAGAAAGTTTTTGATCAGGGTATTAGATTTTGTCAGAATGTTTTATTTCCAGAAAGTAATGAAAGAAGAAATCTTTTGCTCTACGTAGAAGAAATCAACGAGAAAAGAATCACTGGGAAAAGAATAAAACTTTCTTGAACAGAAAGTTTCTGCCGCAATCGCACTTACTTGGGAACGCGGTTTCTTAGAAACCCAACTTGAGATTACTCTAAACCTCCAAGTTTCGGTTTGCTAACTCGGAGAGTGACTCAGTTTCTGCACATTGCCCGAAGACGCGAGTTCCGAGCAATGGCGGGAGCAGAAAGATTCACGGAAGTAGTAAAACGTTTATGTAACGCGCGTTTTGGATCCGACGTACAATGTTTTTTCTTGTGTGTGTGTGTGTTTTTCCGGAACCCGAGAGCCGACACTGATTCGTTCGTTTTTGTTAATAAGAAAAAACAGAGTAAAATAAAAACATGGTTGTGTGTACGAGACGATGTTGTGTTTATATACAGAATATGTTTTATGCTTCTACCCAAAACTATTATTTCCTTACCAATTTATCCCTTTTGTTTATTTTCTCCGACACAACCCTTCATATTGAAATTAAATAAAAGTATATAATATCTGTAGGAGTAAACTATTACAATAATGGTATGTAAAGTAGTGAAATCTATAAAAAATAATTGTGTGTAAATTTCATGAAATGTTTTTGTTTCAAAAGATTTCAATTGCAGCAAATATGTTAGTTGTGATAGAATAGCTTATTTTATCAATTGTAATCACCATTTTAATTTATAGTTTTCGTTTTAATTTTTAAAATTCATATCATTTTAATTTTAATACGTAATATTTTAAATATTTCTAATATTCTCATTTAAAATATTGTTAAACAAAATTTAATATAAGGTTATATAAAATACATAATGAGCTTAATTTATCATCCAGTTTGCAAATTTTGAACTCCTGACAGTTTATTAAATGACAGTTTACTTGGTCAAAAGACATTGATGATTGTGTGGGGGTGGCTGACAAAAATAAAATCTAAGGGGTTGTATATCAAAGATAAATATAAAATGGGGGTTCTTGAAGAAGACATCCATTAGTGGGTTGACACTTGACAGGCAAAAGAATTAAGGTTTTCGGTTAAAAGTGAGTTGGATAAGATCCGAACCGAATGTCGGGGTGGGTGACGTGATCCGGTCAGACCGGTAATGGTGTTGTTGAAATGTAACGAATCTTATCAGCTTCCAAATTACGCGTTCCGTAGCAACCAACGGTTGACGATTGTTCAGGCACAAGGACCTTTTTGTCTTTTCAAGTCAAAAAGGGATTCCTTATTCTATAGGCGACCTCACCGTAGTTTCAGTGATCGCACATTTCTGTATTATATTTGTAACCTTTTTTTTGTCAACGTATTATATTTGCGGGGTTGTATATCAAAGATAAATATAAAATGGGGGTTCTTGAAGAAGACATCCATTAGTGGGTTGACACTTGACAGGCAAAAGAATTAAGGTGTTCAGGAATAATTCTCATTCATTTGATTCATATAAAAACCATTTTAGTCATGTCATTTCTGTCAAATATGTACCAGTTAAGTCACAATCTTGTGGAATAGTTAGGTAAATATTTTACCATAAAATACACCAATTAACAAACAAAAGTTTTATACCCTAAAATGAATAGAAGACAAATCAAGAAAAAGTAATGGGAAAAAGAAAGAAGCATCTCATTTTTCGAAAAATATTATTCGGCAGAATAATTTACAACCAGTGAGTAGTAAAAAGAGCCTTTTCAGGAAACACAGCTGGTTTTACTAAAACAAAATCAGAAATCAATTTTAGTCAAAAAAAAAAAAATCAGAAATCAACCAAATTTGTTAAGACAAAACGATTGGTGGACATGTTTTCAATTTAAAACGTTGTGATAAATGCATTAGTTAAATAAAGTAAGCAAATCAAGGACCAAAGTGAATGTAACAGCTAAACAACTACGACAATTCTGTCCATCCGAACCTCCAAAAGGAAATATGGTTTATTCTTTTCGAAGCTTATATTATCTCCCAAAGCTAAATCTATAACATTTATATAAAAAAGCTCATTAAGTCTGAATGCCTCAAACATAGTTAGACTTTATTAATGTCAAATCTCTTAAGGAGTTTCTAACTACCTGCTGAACTAAATAAGATACAACTCTACCTATCTCAACAAGAAAACCATCATTTTTTATTTTAATAAAAAAATCTTATAATTTTGTATATCAACATGTATAGTTGGTAATAACCCAAACAAAAACATTAAAAACTGGAACTAGTATAAAAGCTGGTGGATAAATAGTATAGCCGACAGTTGCAACTATGTTTTCTGACTGACATATTAATGTTTCGAAATTGGCCAATCAAGAAATAGAGTCATATTTCTAAATTTAGTCTTTAACTAAATTTAGTAGTTTATTATAATGACCCTTTAGTTAAACAATAATTTTCAAATAATTTTCTAGGGTCGATCTAATGAAACCATTGCGTAAAACATCCTCAAAAAACTACTGACATATGTATATATATTATAATCTATTGGAACATAGTAGAGCAACTAATTACCATTTCTTCGGCGACATTAGAGAATGTATTCAATTCACAAACATGCCATATGGTTGTGGTTCATGTATCATTGTCAATGATTAAGTGGAAGCAACGAGCCACATTCAAATCTTAATTTGTTTAATAACGAAATTATTATGTTTACTAGGGTTGCCATTAATTTAGAAGACTAAATTATAGAATAGATTTAAGTAATCGGTGACAAATGTCGATTACTCAAAAACGATTTTCAAATTTCTCTCCCAAAAACAGATTCCGGTGACTTGTGTTGTTCTTGCTCAAATGGTCAATACTCAAATAGTATTCTAACTAATGAATTAATTAATTAAACAAATTACCCCTTTATAAGTAATTTTAATCGGCGGGAGGATCGAGTCATATGATTGGAGAATGAGCGACTGGGTGATACGTGGCGGTGGATGGAGTGATGGAAACACGTGATTGGCGGTGGGTTTTCTCTTGCATGTGTCCCAACAGCTGTTGAGCTAAATCTTTAGTTAAAAGTTTAAAACATGAAAAAGTAACTTTTTATACATTCTAAAATTCGACATGGCCTGGATTCATTATATTTGTGTCCGTGTTTAGTTTTACTTCCACGCTCATAGCCGGCGCGTGTAGTCCATTTCCACCCGATCATTGGAGTTAGGCGGTAGATAACGACGGGAGAACGAACGAAACTTAGAAGCCAACATTACAAATTTACAAATCACGTTATAAGTTCTATACTGACACGGTTCAAAAATATTCTCTTCGATTTTACAGTATGTGTTGTGGCCAATAAGGCAGTAACCTTATAAAAAAACGACGAGGACAATAGACAAATAAGAATGAAAATTAGCATTTAAATCAACTCGAAATTTGCTAATGAAAATTAGCATTGAAACTGACAAATTATAAGTATTGACCTAAACTAGATTGCGGATCTCTATCTACTGCTCTTCTCATATGTTTTTGAAGAGCTCATTGCTTCGTTTTGAGATCTTTGCCTCCTAGCAGCTTCTACAAATTCAGACTCTCTCGTTATAATTTTGTTAACACAGATTTCGCGTAAAAGAAAGTATATTTTAGAAGTACAGTAATAATAATATATGAAGAAGCAAAAAATCTTGAAAGGCAAATGCTATCAACTAGTGATTAGCATATGTATATAAGTTATAAACCGCATCTTTATTGGTATACAAAATCGAACCACTCGATAATCTATACTAATAAAGTAGAGTTATCTGCCCTCATAGACTGTCCACGTTGGTTTTTCAGATAGGGGGCTTTGTTGACACGTGTCAGCATTTGGTTGGTTTAGTGACTCACTTTTTTTTTTTCACTTCCAATCGAACTCCTCTTCTGCGATATCAAAGAAACCACGAAACTTGATATGGAAGAGGAAGGAGCCTCGGGCAACAAAGAGTCCAAGAAGAAAACAATGCCGAATCTGTGGAGTAGGCGATGGTTGAGTAGATGAGAGACTGCGATTTGAACAACGGATCGTGGGTTAAGGATGACGACGAGTAGCCATTGTATCAGCTTGGATTGTGTCATTAGGTTGACGAAGCTTTTGATTGCCAGATGAAAGCCTGATGATTGCGACCTTCCACGGTATGATGCTTCTCCAGTTTATCTCCTCCATTGTCACACCTTATTCAAGTTATTGTCAATTCTGATTCAAATTATTGTCAATCATTTGATCAGTATTTCACTTTCTACGTCATATAGCTTTATGATTGTGTTGACTGGGATGATGTGATCATAGTCACGTTGTTTTATTTGCTGATTGTGAAGTTAAGGTTATTATAAGTGTGGACGCAGATGGAAACTACTCTTTACCTAAAACGTTTGTTGTTCCTTTTATAAGTTAATTTGGTCTCAATCTGCGTCTGGCTTTTGCATAATGAAACTAATCTTTGTTTAATGCAGCTTCAGTTGATGAAACGTGGGGAGGTCAAGTTATATATGCTGGAAGTCTATGACATCACTCACAAAAACTAGAATACTTTGAGGTGAATCTTTTGTCTTTGACTCTTTGTCCTTCTCATGGTTATATCCGTTGGAGACTTTGGAGTAATCAAACTAAAAGCATTATTCTGCAGGCTGTTGAAGGGGTTCCAAAGATCAAGGCCGGATACTATCCTGCAACGTGGATGCTTTGACGTCACTACTCCTTCAATGGAGTCACAAATGAGTTTGGACTTTGCTCAACTATTCACCGTCTCCTCTCTTTATCGGTTTTTCTACTCAATGCTAACAAACTTCATATTTCATGCTATACGGTGTCGGTATGATGTTTGTGAGTTGTGGCCTTGACACCAAACTATCAGATGGCTGGGATCTGCATGTCCTCCTTCCATAGTCTCTATGGAATCTCTTCTTCTCTTTACTCAGAGTAGACTGGTAACATTCTTCATGAACTTACATAATCCATAATTAAAAAGAGTAAATCTAACTTATAAGTTAAGGTACGTAGTAAATAATGATATTGGTGGAGATGGTACTACTGGCTAACACCAGTGGCTTGGACGTTGTACGGCATCATCACATCTCAAGTAGGAGACAAAGATACGATAGTGCAGATCGCTGATGTTGGAGACATGAGCCTTAGAACTTTCCTGAAAGATGTGTTCGAACACGACTCCTTACCAGTTGTACCTTCTGTCCACATGGAATATATACTGCTCTTTGTCTATTTCTTTGCTTATGGTATCAAGTTCCTCAACTTCCAAAAGAAGGTGAAGGAGAAGAAGAACCTTTGTAGCATAGTGTTTGGAAGTTGTTGGGTTCATGTATTTTTTCTTTTGTTTAATATATTGTTTTTATTTGGTTAGTAACAACAACAATAATAACAGTTTATGTTACCAAATTATACGGTTGATATGAAATATTATTTCCTCTTTCAAAATACGTACATGTACGTTCTCAGAGAACATGAGAACAACACATCGACTAGGTAACATCTTTATAAATCTATTTATTAGTTTATATTTCTTCTTATTTCTTACTCCAAATCTTTTTAAAAGGTTAAATACTTCATAAATAAATTTTATAATTGATTCATAATTAATTCAGTTAATTTATTAGCATCAATAAGTTGACAAATAACATTTTTTTCCAAAATCATGTAATAAAATTAAAAGTACGTAAATTTCAAAAATAGACGGAAAGGTATATAAGAACATAAAAAAAGAAAACACTATTTAGATTATACATCTCACGGATTTTTTTTTTAAAAATTTCTGGTCATAAAGCTCAAACATATAAAAATGAACAAAAATAATATAAACCAACAATCAGAAAGTATTAAAAATGTAATTTAATAATACATAAATTATAAAAATGAAAACTATAAGAGAAGAGGAATCTACTTGAAGTATTCCCATTTTTATAACTAAATTTCAATTTATAGAAATTTTATAGTAAAACACAAGAAATAATAATAATAATAAAAAATTTAAAATATTGAGGGAGCTCCCAGAGGAGTGAAAGCTTCGTTAATGTGCCAACGGCGCCGTCGTCATCTGGGACCAAAAAAAGTCATAAAAAAGGTTTAGCCAGGAGAGACGATAGTTTATAATATTTGCCCATCTTTTGCTAAAACTTGCTGAATACTCTATTTTTTCCTCAGTGTCTAAGCAACGCCGTCCTTGGTTGCAAGAACACTATCTTACGACACCAAGCTTCCTCGGGAACACTTCAAATTGTGATCTACAAAATGGTTAGCATACCTCATACACCCCATAAACGTTTGACTATATTTACTTGCGTAAGACGTTGATGTTTTAAATCTTACAAAAAATTGCAGTAACAAATGCTAGGCTTGCCCGCAAACACCGCATACAGTTGATATGTGCCAGACGTGTTGCAGCTTCACCACCTCAAGCCATCACTACTGAAGAGCCGACTACGACTCCTCCGCATGCTGGACCCACGAATGGTGGTAAGTAAGATCGATGGAGACAACACCCACTTAATCTTTCTCAGTATGGATGTTTGGTCCAAATTTTATATTGTTCCCTACCCATATAAGTCAAAATTGCCTATGGAAACCATAGATCCTCCTTCCAAATTTGAAATGATGAATCTTCAGTTCTTAGTTCCATAGAGTTCTTAACTCCAAATTTCCCAAAAAAAAAATTAAAAATTAAGTTAAAAATTCTCGGGTCAAAGATCAATACCCGGCGCGTAGCGCCGGCCGCCCCCTAGTGATAAATATTTTATAGTTTCTCATTAATATTTGACGATTTTTCATTTGGAAACTTCCTATATTTTATAATGTTATGATATTTTGTATGAAAATAATGCTCTATATATTTTGACATGAAATGATCCAAACATCTGAATTAATAAAAAATCAAATTTTTTAATAGTACCTACCATGACTAGAATTTTCTTTTGTTGAATTACTAAATTTGTCATCTTTCCGTTTCAAATGATATGATGTTTAAGATATTTTTTTATGTTTCAATATATAAGATGCTTTCATATTTTTAAATAAATTTAGTTTTATTAAAAACTGTTTATTTAATATTTTTTCTTGTCTATGTTGTAATTGATTAAAATTTTTAATTTATATTTTGATGATATTTTATTAAAAGTTGTACATTTACCTAAAACATCATACATTAGAAAACATAAAACAATATTCTATAATTAAAATAAAATACGTATTCCCTATAATTCAAAATTATATGGCACTTTTGTTAAAAGCATAATAACTAATAATTTTTTTTAAAAAAAATTAATGATATAAATTTTAAATTAGTCAACCAGTCATAATAATGACGTAAGCTATTATTGGTTGACCGCTTTTTTGATAAAGTTAAAATTGTTTTAAGGTATCAAAACATTTTATATTTTGGAAACATAAAATTTTAAATACATTTTATATTATAAAACAGATAGAGTATCTTTTTACTTAAAAATAAAAATGTAAAACCAGATGAAATAAAATGGTGCAGTGCTATATATATAGTTTTACTGTTTTAAACAAAGTATCTGATTGTTACACAAATAATATATTTGATTGTCCATAGAATGATAATATTATACTACCCAAATTCTTGGTGAAAGAGATATATAATCAGAGAACCTGTTTGTAACCTCTGCTAGTTAGTGATTGTCGATTTTTCATACAATAATGATATTTTATATAACATTTATTATCCGCTTACAGTTTGCTTCAACCAATCGATGAAGAGAAGAATTTAAATACGTCACATTAAAGTTAAGATTGACAATGAGATGGAAAAGTTTATCCAAGCAATCTAATTGGTCTTCATCTAGTTGATCACTAGGGCTCATTTCAAGATAAGTCTACAATCCATGAAGCTTGTGGGCTCCAAAATTGAAATATCATCCACTGTCGTATGATCACATCAACGAAGCAAGTGGTAATGTAAGGAAATCGTGAATTACAGTTTTGGGGATATAGGTTTTTAGTATGAAGATTGGCGTAGCTAATTTGATTCTCATGCCCAGTTAAATCAATTGTGTTTTGTTAACCAAATAATCGTATTCGGGTGATCATTGCACTATTGATTAGTGGAATATTTATAAGACATAGATTCCCACATTTGATGTAACTTTTGTATGTTGAATTACATAATCATTTTGCCTCCAGATCCACCGACCATGAAAACAATCATTAAGTATTGATATTGTAACCGGTTAGATGAATATTGTTTCACCATGTCCATATATATATATATTACAAAGAATACTCCATCATCAATTTTCTTGAATATAATCTATCAATTTTCTTTCTACCATTTATACAGTTGGATGTTTTGGCTGAGATATATGTTTATGGATAAGCGAGGTTCTTATAGTTTACTCGTTATTTTGGTCCAACCTGCATGATTATGGTTTTTATATCCACTAGGGAGCGCAATAGTTTGACTAAAATATATAATGATGCAGTACAAAAAAATAATATATATATGTATATATATATATATAATGTATTGTATCATCTTTTTGAAGTTTACATTGTATCATCTTTACATATTGATAACGTGTTACAAACTTGCAACAACTTGCAGCTGGTTAATTTAAATATCATAAAGTAAAGGAAATTTACTATTTATTTAACAAATTGAAAGGTCAAATTAAGTGGGAATAAATACAAATACTCTTATATAGGAATAACGCTCTGATCATCTATCTGATCATCTATCGCTAATAGATCTTTTACGTCCACTCACTTAGTTCATGGACTATATTATATGTAATGAATGATGCAATAATTATTCAGAAGTTTATGTTTACTAATTTTGTAATCACCACTCGACATTTTTCCATGTTTTGACTTCATTCATACGATGTTGTAAATCGCTTTCTGATAAGTCATGATTACAAACATCTTTAATTCTGAAATTCTTCCAGAATTTGTAACCAAAAAAGTGAATATAGTTTAATTAGTTTGATAATAATCAAATTAATTCTTTAAATTTTTTCTTAAATCACAAACCGAGATATTACACTAGGGTTCGAACCTTATTAAGATGAAATTTTGATTTTGAAATTAAATAGTTTCCCGAATTGAGAAAAACACTATTGAGTACAAAAGAAATTCTTGAATTTTCTCGTAAACATAGCATTAATATGTACAAGAACATGTTCGCATTTAAGAAAACATTAACTGGCCAGCTACGTGCCAATATTAAATTGTTACAATATTAATTTAATAATTTTCTTAACATAATAATTAGACAGGTTTTGTTAATTGATTGGCTCTGTTATACAGGGAAAAATTAAATTTTGAGTAGATTTGTTCCATGCTCAACAGATTGATCGTTATATATCTACCCTCATGAATGGATGATTATCCATCATCCAGTTACCAGTCAGAAAAATAATACGGTCCATTACTTATTGTCTGTTTGAAACCAGTCTATTAATGATACAAAGGGAGTAGTAGCTAATAATACTTTTATAAAGATGTGGAAGTGGAAGTGCAAATCAAAACTTAAGGGTTAACAGGAACACGAGGACAAAATAATAGTTTTATCGTTATTTCAAAGATGTCTGCAACTTGCAACACTGTATCTGTGAATATGTATAGGAACATTCCATGTGGGCTGTTTCCAAGAAACATCAACTAAAATTATTATGTAAAGCCAGTTAAGCCTAATCACATAATTATTACATAATCAACAAAAAACATTTATTTATGGTCCAACGATTACACAAGTTTGATTATTTTCTCATCATCGGGCCATTTATTCAACTAGATCGGCTTAATTCATTAGGGGAGATTTTGGTGTACCAAATTAAGATTCTAGACATAAAAAGTTTGTTTAGAAAATTGGTTGCCAAAACTATATAACTCTCAAAATATAAGAGACGGTGGAATGATATAACCTTTTAATCAACAATTTTTTGATTTATAAGTTGGTTGAAAATACACTGTTTTATTAATTGTAATATAAAGTCAAAGATGCAAAATGATTATTATGTTGTTCTATTGATTATCAGTAGAGTATACCATGGAGTCCCCATGATTCTAATCATCGATACGGTTTGATTTAATGAAAACTTATATACTCCTTCGGTTTCAATTTTTTTTGTCATTCTAGAATTTCACATACAAATTAAGAAACTATTTAAATGTTCAAATTTATCTTTATTTGACCATTAGAATTACATAACATTTAATATTTTAGTTTAATTGAGGGTAAAAGAAATAAAACAATAGTGAAAACTGTATTGAAAATATAAAACAACATATATTTTGCAACAAAAAATTATGTTAGAACGACAATTAATCAGAAGCATAAGGATATTAATTATAATAGGTGAGTTACTCGTACTTGCAAACTGAATAATTCTACAAATATTCATAATAGATATATAATAAATGCAAATACTATTAAATAAGCTATTATCTATACGTTTAAATTATTAACAATAAATGAAAAAACAATTTTTATATATATAAAAAACGTTTTTCATCATGATGTAATTCTAGTACGTTAAATCAACTTGAAAACATTTCTACGTTAAAACTATTTAGTAATAAATTAAATCTCAAATTTTTATATCAGAAATTTTTTTTTAACATAATGAATTATATTTTATTACGTGAATTAAACTTGAAAAGACTGATATATGCATGAAAATATATAAAATAAAAATATATATAGGGATCAAAAGAAATATTTTATGATGTAAACTAATTTTTTGGATATATAAATTAGTTTTTTATAATACTAATTAGCATATCAAAGATTTAGTTTATTGTTAATTATACATTAACAAATCTAATGACTCAGAGAAATTCATTTTTAATTTATGATTAATTAAATATTAACAAATCTAATGATTCATTAAGGTTAATGAAAACTTTACAATATAATATAAATTATTTTTAAATAATGATAACACATATATGGATTTATCTTTATTTTTTAAACATATATGTAAAATAATTATTTGGATAAGAAAATATACACTATTTTAGGTTTTGATAATTATAAACTCATTTTTAATCACATATTTTCTTATTATTCATTAAGGTTAATAATGACATTAGTCATGCATTTTTAACGTAAGAGTTCGGATGGGAAAAATATTTTGTAACTAGATTTTTTATTAATTTTTAGAGAAATAATGGATATCCATGTTTTTTTAATAATTTATTAGTAAATCATAGATCTAAACAAATCCAGACTAATCTCCTTAAACAAGATAGGTTTGCGTATCGGACTCGCAAGTGAGCCGAAGTAAGGGTCTATATTTGTGTGGAGTATCCAGAGCCTAACCTGAGGTAGTTCTCTCCTTCAGCAGAGTTTGAATTCGCAACACGGATTCGTGAAGGAGTCCGTCCTTATTATTGGACCACAATGTTCCGAACAAATCGGTCATCCGTGTTGTAAGATTATAGGTTTAGGAGATTATAAAAATTACTATTAGGTTATAAGCCATCATTAAAAAAAGCATGACAAGATTACAGCTATGATGACATAATGGACTATGATTAGTTTGAAATTGCATATTTTGAATTTTTTGTCCACAGAGTAGTACCCGCCCCACCAGCTTTTTTTTTACACATGACTACTACTTTACAATCTAATTTGATTGAAAGCTCTCAATCAAATTGGAGATCTCCCGCCATATTAGTTTCAGTTGTCCATTCGGTTACTTTGCAGAAATGTCAAATCGATTTTTTAAACCACACAATAATATTAGTTTGATCACAGAATCAGTTCAGTCTTCATGATATGCATATCAGAAACAAAGTCATTTGAATTAGAATATGGGCTATTGAACTAGGTTTAATGGGTCTATGCAATTCTGGCTGAAACGAATTGGGTTTTAGGATTTAAGTACTTCTTTGAGTTTTTCATTATGCACAACTATAGTCTATTAATACCGTCTCTTACTTACAATTTCGAACTTATCATTCACCGTCAATATAACCTTTTTGTTAGTAGCCAACCTGGTGATCATATGATAAATTCTTGCGGCCACTATTTTCAGTTTGTTATTGTAATCCATTACCACTTCAGTTTCTCAACATGATCATATATAGTTCTAGAAGTAACATATAAGAGCCTGTAATTCGTATTGAATGTGACAGGTAAGAGTCAACATAAGTTACCATATATACCGGTGCAGAAACATTTATGACTTATGTAGAGGACCATGTATAAGTTTCCAATTTGTGGTCCTCGAGAAATTTAGCAATATAATTACAACGTTATGCATGCATGTGATTCTGCATGTATGGACAGTTGTGCTGCTGTTAATTCATACGTACAACATAAATAAATACACACTCAGTGTACAACAGAAGTAACTAGGCTCTTTTCTCTTTCTCCCAGTATACAACAGTAACAACAATACTAACTCCATAATTTGATTTTAAGCTAGGAATATACTAGGGACTAAGTTCAAAAACCTGTACTAGAGCCGGACTATTAGGTTCGTTCGTATTTCAGAATTCCATGTATATGTAATGTGTGGTCCATATAGTTTATGAAATCTGATTTAGTGTAACGGGTTATGAAAAAATACTGTAAATTTTATCACAAGATATGATATGCTGATTTCACATCTTAATTATTTATACAAAATGTTAAACTGCAGCAAAACGACTTCCTCTTACCTACACAATATGTCATACATGGCCAATTAAAGGTTTATCATTACTATTTTTTCTATTTAAAGTGTACAAACACGGTAACCTTTTGTTTATTCCGAAATCTTCAAAGTTTAAATATATGAAATATGATGACTTTTGAATGTTCCGAAATATATAAACATATCTACGAATAAATAAACATGTCACTACAAGAAAACACGGCGATTCTGAGGGAAATTTTCGTCGGTATGTCGTCGGAATTAAGGAATTCCGTGGACATACCGACGACTTCGGTCCTCGGAAATTTCTCCTCGGAATTTCACATCTCCTCGGAATTTCTTCGGAAATTTCCGAGGAACGAATATTCCGTCGGAAAATTCCGAGGAATGGGTTGCGTCGGAAATTTCCGAGGAACCAACGTTCCTCGGAAATTTCCGACGGAAAAACTCCGTCGGAAATTTCCGACGACCATTCCGAGGAATTTGTCCGTCGGAATTTTCCGAGGAAGTCGGCCGTCGGAAAATTCCGAGGACAAGAGTTCCTCGGANCCGACGGAAAAACTCCGTCGGAAATTTCCGACGACCATTCCGAGGAATTTGTCCGTCGGAATTTTCCGAGGAAGTCGGCCGTCGGAAAATTCCGAGGACAAGAGTTCCTCGGAATATTCCGACGAACTGGTTTCCTCGGAATTTCCTAAAATATGATTTTTTTAGCAGAATTATAAATTATTATTTTTTTAATTAAAATTCAAAAATACAAAATAAAATTTAAAATTGAAAGTATATTAAATAAAAGTAGAGTTTTACAAATAAAAAAAAAACATTCAGAGTTTTCGGAAAAAAAAAACATTCAGAGTTTTCGAAAAAAAAAAACATTCAGAGTTTTCGAAAAAAAAAAACTACGGGAGCTGCTCGTTCGGGTACATCCTCCTCATCATCTCCATCATGCGCTCGTTAACTCTCCTCATTTCCTCCCATCCCCTTTCTTGTTCCGCCATCTTCGCTTCCAACGCAGCTATGCGGTTATCCTTGTCCTGCAGCTGCTCCATAACCATCGGATCAGGAGGCGGTTGTGATGTGGAAGGAGAAACCGATTTGGCTCGACGACCCAAACCAACCAAACGTCCCTTCTTCTTTGGAACTGACTGAAAGAAGAAAAAAACAAATTTTAATAATTGAAATGATTATAAAATGAAAATAAAAAATAAATTAATTGAATTTTTATAAAAATATCTTACCGATTCCACAATCTCGTTGATTAGAGCTGTGGACAGGGATACCGAAGCCGTTGAAGTGGAGTCGATCTCGGTTTGAAGCTGAGTTAGACGGAATTCTTCGTCGTCCTTGATAGTGGTGATCAACTCTGATCACCAGTAGACCTATAAGTTAAAAAAAAAGATTTAGAAATAATTTTAATGACATTAAAATATAAAATTAGGTTTTAATCACAAAATTTTTTTAAAAAAAACTTGTAATAATTTAGAATTTCATCACAAAAAGGATTCATAAAATATTAAAAATAACTTTATTAATTTAAAAAATAGTTTTAAATCACAAAAAACCTTTTAATAAATAGGAAAATGCTTGATTAATTTAAAAATAGTTTTAAATCACAAAAAACCTTTTAATAAATAGGAAAATACTTTATTAATTTAAAAAATAGTTTTAAATCACAAAAAACCTTTTCATAAATAGGAAAATACTTTATTAATTTAAAAAATAGTTTTAAATCATAAAAAACCTTTTCATAAATAGGAAAATACTTTATTAATTTAAAAAATAGTTTTAAATCAACAAAAAACCTTTTAATAAATAGGAAAATACTTTATTAATTAAAAAATAGTTTTAAATCACATAAAAATTTATAATTTCCGAAAATTAAAATTTCAGAAAATTAAAATTTATTAATTTCCGAAAATTAAAATTTATAAATCAACAACAACACAATCAACACAAAAACCAACTAATTCCCCTATTTACCAATCACCCTAACAAAATCACAATCTAAAACATCTAAAATCCTTAAAACTAACTTCAAATCCTAATCAAAACAACTAAGGATGATGTGGATTAAGGACTTACATGATTTGGAATGAAATAGGGGAGATTTCGCAGCGAAAATCGAGAGAGAGAGGGGCAGTTTTCGTCGGCGGCCGAGAGGGAGAGGAAGAGAAGAGAAGAGAAATGGGGAAGAAGAACTCTCTAGGGTTAATAAACCAAAATTCTGACGGAAAAGGGTTCCTCGGAATTCCGTCGGAATTTCTTAATTTAATTTTCGCTAAAATGTTTGGCGGTTTGATTTCCCGGGTACCAAAATATTCCGAGGAAATTCCGACGGATATTTAGAAGTCCGTCGGAATTTCCTCGGAAAAAATTCCTCGGAATTTCCTCGGAATATTCCGAGGAAATTCCGAGGAAATATTGTTTGGGGTTTCAAAACCTAAACTTTTGATACGGTAAATCATTCATTGAACAATTTGATAGATTATCAATGGATAATATGACAATAGATGCCTATAAACCATGAAATTAAAGAATTATTAAAACGAGTACACGTATTGTCGTCTCTGTTCATTAAAGTGTATAAGTGTTTATGTTGTAGTTTAAGGATTTCGTTTATACAATCGGAAAAGTGTCTATAATTTGGGTACCATAGCATTTTTTTGAATTCATAATCAATTCAAAACACTTAACAAGGTTTATACAAGTCTTATTCAATCCGTAAATCGCTGTTTTCGGTTCCGAAACCATGTTTCCTCGGAATTTCCTCGGAAATTTCCGAGGAATTTCCGACGAATGCTAGTGTTCCTCGGAATTTCCTCAGAAGTTACCGAGGAAATTCCGTGGAATGCTTGTTT